GGGCAATAGGACTCACACAGACCACGGGTTGAGCGCCCCCTGCTGGCCTCACTAACACCACTTCCAACAGCAACCTAGTGTTCCCTAGTGGTCTCCCATCCAGGTACTGACCAGGCTCAGCCCTGCTTAGCTTCAGTGAGTAACCGGTCTTGGGCTGCAGGGTGATATAGCTGTGGCAAATGTAACCATTTATTTTAATAAGTGTCTATATACGTTACTTACTCAAAACCATGAATTCATTTTTAAATGGTGTAAAAATGTTGCATGATTCCTTTTATTAAACGTCAATAAAACATGAACATGGATTGTGTGAATAGACTACAGCAAATAAATAAACATTAAAAAAGTATATATATATATATATATATATATATATATATATATATATATATGTGTGTGTGTGTGTGTATATGTGTGTGTGTGTGTGTGTATATATGTGTCATGTGTGGCGCCCTTATATATATATATATATACCCCCTTTTTGCGCCACTGTACACAACACGTTAACGTTAATTACAGACATTGCTCTTGCTCTTGCGGTTGTCAGTTCTACTGTAGCCTTATTATTATTATGTAAAACACAAGCCTGCCTTATTGATTTCAACTTGAAAATATTAAACATTGATTTGGAGTTGTTCTTAAAGGGACAGTTCACCCCCAAATCAAATTGTAATATTTACTCAGGCACATGTGGTTTTAAACTTTTGTAAGTTTCTTTCTGTTGACCACACTAAATGCCATATTTAGAAAAAAGCTGAAACCTGTAACCATTTATTTCCATAGGAAAAACAAATACTATGGAAGTCAATGGTTACAGGTTTCCAGGTTTCTTTAAAATATTTTCTTTACAGAAGATAGAAAGAAAAACAGGTTTGGAATAAATGAAGGAAGAGTAAATTACGGCAGATTTTTCAGTTTTGTGTGAAAGAAAACCTGTTTTTTGTCTTCTGCTGTTATTTACTCACTGTAAATGATATTTAGAACCATTGCTGGAAACAAACAGGTGCCTGGCCAAAGTGACATTTTACATATAAATGTGCAATTTACCACATAGCATTCTCACAGTATGGAAAGTATTAATTACTATAGCGTTACTATGATAATAAATATGTGAACATCCACATTCTGTCATTGTAAAATTAAATTTTGTAATCCAACAGGAATAGTGTTTTTGAAAATGACACAGTATTATGGTGACATGTTAATATGTATGATATAGGCTTAATATTGACATTGCCATTTTATATTTCTAACATACAGGGCCATTGGAAAACCACACAGCTACAATGAAGATGGGAATCCTTGAAACAGTTAGCATCAGGAGCATGATGAAGCTTAAGAGCCCTGTCAACTGTGTTGAATGTCTGCTGTCCTGGAAGAGGAGATGGTGCTCGACAATAGGAGGCTTTATCAATGCATCGTTTGTGCTTTTGGATTATAGTATCTACTCAACCTGGAATACAATGACTAAATAGGTTTACATGGTAAATATTTGAAAACAGATGCAGCTTTATGTGCTTGAAGTTCCTCTTGAAGATTTTTTTTTACTTTTCTTGAAACTTTTGTGAGTTTTTTTTCTGTTCTGGAATCATCTGTGTCAACTGGGTAAAGTAACCCATTGTTGACGATTTTAATATTCATTTATTAATTATCCTTCAGCTTAGTCCCCTGTTTATCAGGGGGAGCCACAGCGGAATGAACCGTTCATTGTTTATATGCAAATATATTCGATGTTTAATGTTAATGAATGGGTTTAACCAATAAAAATGTGATTTTATAAGTTCAGATAATCTTTTGTAGAATGAAAGGATTCAGGTGACAACACTAAACAATGGTTAAAGTAACCTCACAAAAATATTCACATTTTATGCTTTTTTTTTTTTTTTTTTTACATTTTTGCAGATATTTGGGATATATATTAAGTACACTTGAGCTCTATGTATTGACCTTATTCCTCACGGACAAGCAGGCGCAGCCATTTGAATCTTTTTGGCTGGAGATTTCCGCTCTCATTCACTTCCTTTGATTTTTAGACGTTAAAAACTGTTTGTTTTGATGCTTGATGTTGCAAACTGATATTTTCTTAATATATTATTCTGCTTTGTCTTTAGAGTCATAAACACACTAGTTTGTAGAGCAAGTAGTTTGTCTGTTTTCCGCTGTTTAATATTCCTAGTCATTTCTCCCATAGGGCACTGAATCAGATGTTCGAAAACAAATCGGAAAAACGAGGGCACTTCCGCCTTAAAGAATGAGGTCAATATTAGGAGAAATAAAATGCTAGAATTTATACGGTATACTTTGTTGAAATGTGTAATGTATTTGTTATTCTAAAGTACTTTTACAATAGTGTCTCTTTAATAAAAATAAATAAATAAATGTGGCAGTGTTTAGTGTATTATGATTTTGTTATTCTATTATTCATCTTCTTTTGGGACAACGAGGAATAAACAATTGAGTAAAGTTGTTTTAGCATTGTTTACCAATATACAATTAACCAATATACATTAGGTGAAACCAAAAAAGCTTGTTGCACACAATCTAAAACATTCAATTGGGCCAATAACATGATTTGGCAGACTTGATGGTTTTGGTTCAACACATTATTTCTCATTGAGCCAATGTTGACAGGCTGTTGCCACAATTGAATTTAGATGTGACCAGTCTCTAGAAAATGTAGTTTGGGGAGTAAATTATATTTAAATTTATTTAAATAAATATTATATTGATTCATTTTTTACAGCGTATAAATAATTAGAATTTATATTTATAACATAATTGAAAATATTATTCTATCAAAAAATTGAATAAATTATTTAAACAACTGTTTTATTTATTGTATGTTTTTTATCATTATGATTATGATTATTATTATGGCTTATTTTATTATAGTTTCATTATAGTTTTAATAGTGCAATTAGTGGTGGATTGTTTTAAAAATCAGGTTAAAAGGGTAATAATAATTCCAGAATTGTTACTTTTATTTATTAATTATAACTTCAAAAATCAACATAATATAGGAAAAAGAATTGCAGCCTCTTTTATATGTATTAAATAACAAATGTATTAATTAATTCATTTATTTAGAATGGTTGCTTCCACGAATCCTGCGACTTCCACATCTTCAGGTGATTCTGATGTAAATCTGCTGTCCAGAATCAGCTGGTTTGTCTTAGTCGGGCATCTCTGCTGAGACCAGTCCACTATGGGTGACCCTACCGGTATCTGTGAAGTACCAGTGGCGAAGCTCTCAGCATCACTGATGCACACAAGCCCTCACAGCACGTCAAGCTGTAAACCACGTGAGGGACCCTAACCTAACCTACCCTAACCTAACAGACACCGCAAACCACTAAACGCATCGAAACTCTCAGAAGAGTCCAGCGACCGACCAGCAACACGAGAACAACCGCTCAGAAAACCTCGACAACCGTGCAGAAAACCACCTGAAACATCCTGAAGACCACCGAGCAAACCAAGAACTTCAAGTCAACAACACAAAGAATCAATAAAAACAACCAGTTGATGAAACAAAACATGCAAAAGGAAACTTACTGTGAACTTGCTCTACAACTATGTACACTATATACATACGCAGGCCTGCAGTGTGGTTTGGGACACTGTGAAGACTCAGCGTCTGGCCCTCTTTCTGCTGGGCTTCTCAGGCTGTGGCTCTCCACTGATGTCCACATGGACTCGAGGAGCCATGCTGTTTGGTCTGGATCCACATCTGCGTTCTGTAATGAGGATTCGTCCATCAGCCTCCATCGTCTCCTCCATCACAGGACACCTGAGTGCCTCCCACAGCCGCTGCTTGATCTCCAGGCCCAGCTGAAGGCTGTAGGGACGACTCTTGATCATGGGCTCGACCACAGAGCGGTAGATGTCCTGGTAGGCCTGAACGCTGTAGCCATGGATCGAGAGTGGCTCCTCCTGCTGTCCCACGTCCACTGAAGGCACTGAGGATGCTGGACGGATTTGGGGAAGGACAGCTGCGTTCTTCAGGTGATGTTCCTCCAGACCTGGGGAAGAGATACAGCTGTAAGTATGATCCAACCTGATCACAGCTGCAGGATCCTGAACAGACGGGACACCCTCCAGCAGGAAGTCCTTCAGGTGTGCTGGAAGACTCCTGATTCGTCTGAGGCGCCGCTGCTCCATGAATATCAACTTTCCAAATCAGACAATCTGATGAAACTTGTCAAAGTGAAGAGTTGAAAGAGCTCAAGTGATCAGATTCAGAGAGATGTGTTGATTTCAGTGTAAACTCAGGTTGCCGTGGTGACAGAATATTGGAGTCATTTAAATGTAAACAACACTTGATCAGCAGAAAGTCAATCAGAGCAGTAGAGGAGTTCTTCTCTATTGCTTCTCTATTACACATTGTGTCATTTTTACATTATAAATAAGTAAATATAGTTTGAACTAAACAAAATGTGTAATACAGAAACGTTAACACTTTCAGTTAAATTTGATTAAAATCAGTTAGGGTAAGCAGATATCCTAATAATTATTATTATCATTTTTATCATAACCAGGTCTAGATCCCAAAACAATAATAAAAACGAAAACATACATAAATTTTGTCTTTTATTTATTTATTTATTTTCATAATCAATTTTTATCAAATTTTGTTGCAATCAAACTTTATTTAACCACATTTCAAATACGTCTTTTTTTATCTCATCATATTTTTTGCATTAATTATTTCAATATTAGATTATATAAAACAAAATTACACTGTAAATAAAATAATTGTGGACACTGACAATTAAATATTGACTCAACAAATGAATTCATAATAATAAGCCCCAAACGAAAAACAAAATCCACATTATTAATTTTAGCTGTTGGTCTGAAGTAAAAATAAAAAAATATTCATTAACCAAACATAAAACTGTGCTTTGGCAATTTATCAAAGAGCAGTGAAAATAGTGTTTGTGTTTGGCGAACAAACCTTGCAGCAAAAGCGCGTGTACGCATGCGCATGAGAGTCGTTTGTTGTGATCAGGTTTATATTCCAGCACAGCAATGGCAGAGCTCCTCCGAAACATCATATTCAGGCGATTATCCTTCATCAAAGTTATGGTGAGTAGTGAATTCTGTATGTATTGAATCGTTTTTAAGTTTAGCCAAATGCAAGTCTCAGAAATTCCTGACATAAAACGAAAAGGGTATTACGTTAGCCTGCGCTCCGTCATAATGTTGTACACAAGTTATGAAACTATACAACAAAAAAATACAGTTCATCAGATTTCATGCGCAATAATTTCACACAGATTTTACAGAGTTGTGGTGAAGGGCTTTTTCATGAGCTATTCTTCAAACAGCCAGGATCAAGATGTACTCAAATGGTTTTGTGTCTTCGGTGATTCTGCCTGTTAACAGTTTATCATCTGTTTCTATTATTAAAGAAAACATTATTGGTCAAACCTGATTCAGATATACTGTTGAGTCAATGTTAATTCAATAAAGGTCTGCTGTTGAATGAACTTCAATGTTCGGCATGAAATCCACATTTTTCAAAAACATATTTTATCAAGATATTTTTACTCTGGAGAGAAAATAAGGTTTGTTTGTAACAACTACTTACAGGATTCATACACATTTTTACTACTAAAATTTCATGGCTTTTCCAAATCAAATCACTTTTATTGTCACATCAGCAGCAGCACGTATGATGAGTGAAAAGCTTAGATGCTGGCTCCAGACAGTACAAAATACATAGTGCAAATACAACGACAATGCAAATAAAATGACAGTGCAAAATACAGAAAGGAAAGATAATAAGTAACCAACCTATATTCAAGTTAGGGCTGTGCAATATATTGTTTCGGCATCAATATCGCAATGTGTGCATCCGCAATAGTCACATGGTAGGATATGCAATGTTTAGTGAATGATTAGTTTAATATAGAGTTTAATTATAATGGAGTAAAAGTTTATCATCTGCATGCATTTTTAAAGAGACAGTTTACCCAAAATTTACTCACCATTTTAATTACACCCTTCACTTGTTTTAAACATTTTAGTTTTTTGTTTTTTTTAATGAACACAAAAATAATATAATTTAATAACTCCTATACTATTGAAACAAGTGATGTATAAGTTAAGAGTTAGTACTATTAATCTTTGAGTAAATTCTCCCTTTAAGGCCTGTGACTTTAAGAACATTTCAACATTTCAGAGTTTAATCTTCATTAAAGTTACAAAAAATGACTTGTGGTTGGATGTTTTAAATAATATACAATATATGTGTGTATATATATATATATATATATATATATATATATATATATATATATATATATATATATACATAAATTTTTTTATCTTTAATATAATATTAAAACCTGTTAATAATTATTTTGTTATTTAATATATTATTCAAGATTTACTCCACTACAAAATCTCCCAAGCAATCCAAATAAATGTGTTAAATCATCTGGTGAAATTGTTTTCACATCACAATATACATCACAGAAATACAAAACATTGTAATGTTTGATTCATCCGTGTTTACCTGAGGCTCCTCAGAGCCTGTGTTGCTCCCTGCCTAGGGGGCACGGGCTGCCTTGTCCCAGGGAGTGCACAAGCTGACCAGGCGCCAGTCCGTGTTGATGTTACATAGGAATGTTGCTCGGTGGCAAATTTCGAGCAACAAACACATATTATACTTGCGATGTTGCGTTTACTTATGCAAACCGTGAGGAACTACAGCACAGATGGGCCAGAGTGAATAAGCTTCACAATGCAGACCGTGACATTGGCTTCGTGAGATTGGCGTGGCTTCTTGCTCGAGTACAAACCGACACCTTGAGAACTGACTAAACTGAGAGGAAACATGCAGATCAAGTGCTTAGAACGTGACATCACTAAACGAGAATGATGTCATGATGAGCACTGAAGAGAAGCTGCGTACAAGATGGCGGCCTAGCAACAGGTGAATCGATGTGCTGTGCAAACTTAAATAGCATACGCTGCTAGTGGTGTATTCTGAAAGTTCTTTTCTTCTGTTCTTAGAAAGAATATTATGTAAAGTTACTTACTGGACTGTTTTGTGTCCGTGACAAAAAAATAGTGGAAAGAAAGAACAACAGAAGCGTGTCTCTGGGGAAGGCAAATTCTGCTAAAGTTACAATATTATACTTGTGCATATACATTAGATTATCAGTACTAAAGCCAGATCTGGAGCTTATCTAACAAAATAACTTACGATAACGATAACAGTCTAAAACCGTCTAAACATCCAAATTTTTACATTACAAAAAAATGTATTTTCGGCTTAGTCCCTTTGTTAATCCAGGGTCACCACAGTGAAATGAACTGCCAACTTATCCAGCATATGTTTATATGCAGCGGATGCAGCTGCAACCCATCTCTGGGAAACATTCATACACACTCAATCACACTCATACGTAACACTACAGAAAATTTTGCCCACCCAATTGACCCTTCGCTAAGCCACGCCCAAAAGCTGCCATCCACCAATCGTGGCTTAGCAACTGTAGCTACGTGCAGGGGCTCTGTCAAGCTTTCAAGCGAGTGCATATGGATTGTGCAAATCTGATACTCTGTATCCTTAAAGTTTGGACATGATGTTGGAATTTTTTCCCTTTTCAAAAAGTAAAAACCCAAGAGGAGAAATGCCAGCGTGGATCAAGCTGTGTGAGGGGCGCTAAAGGAGTGGAGCCAAGTTGGTTTTGTTTTGATATTCCTGACACATTCAGTGATAGACCGACGGCAATAACTCACACACCTCTTAAGTTACCCTGAACCTATCTAAACAGTGTTTCCTAAAAAAACATAAAGCAGGTTATGTTTCACAGCTGTCTTATTCTTTTTTTCCCTCGATATTATCTGTAATGCTCTGTTTAAGCCTTCGCTATAACGTTAGTAACGTAGTCATACTAATAGCGAATAGGTCATAATGACATGAGTTATTGATCCGGAAAATACGAATCTGCAAATCTGTTGCTAACTTTACTGAACTTCATATTTTCATCTGTTTCAAGTTATGAATATTTTAAATTACAAATCAACAGAACAAAACCGAGATATGATCACAAACTGAGCAGTCGCGATCAATATACTTTACCCGCAGCTGTTATTCATTAATTCATAAAGAGCACACAAACACACTGACAGTAATAGATTACTTACTGTACATTGTTATGGGTCAATATTCGGCACAAATCCATCAGTTTCCCCTTTCTGGCTGTTCTTTCTATGAATGAACTATATGTAAAAGCACTGTCATGCCTCATTCCTCGTCGGTTAGTAACGCTATATTTAATCTATCAGGTTTTTTGGCAAAAAATAGAGAAATCATGGTTTAATTAGTTATTATTAGATTATTTTTAAATTTCACCTCTCCTGCTAAGCATGAGCTAAGCTGTTGTACGCTTAGCGTATGAGGCGGCTAGGCTAAGCTAGCTTCAATTTTGATTGATTTATTCTCTAATCGGTTGCCTTTTATGTCGTGAATATACTCCTGTAATGCATACTGCAGTCTTTTTTTGTCTGGCTTTCTCGAATATCTCACCTGTTCACCAAAAATGACATTATATCCCTGGAGCACACATTGAAAAAGCCGTGCCAGGCACGAAAGCTTGACAGCCGTAGCAACAGTAACTAAGGAGGGCGGGGCTTAGCGAAGGGTCCATTTACCTGTATCACATGTCTATTGACTGTGGGGGAAACCGGAGCACCCGGAGAAAACCCACGCTAACGCAGGGAGAACATGCAAACTCCACACAGAAATGCCAACTGACCTAGCCAAGGCTCAAACCAGCAACCTTCTTGCTGTGAGGCGACAGCACTACTGTGCCACCGAGTTGCCCCTGTTATAGACAAATATTAAATATAAAATTTTTAAAAAGAGGAAAAATCAAGATAAGCAAACAAATACATACAGTAGGTTAGAAACAGGGTTTAATATGTTTTATTAAAGCCAAGATACAGAGATATTATGGGTTGGAATTGCAGCAGCATCTGGCATAAACAGACATACCACTGTACCACACTTTGAAGGGACTTCGGTTTAATCTGGTGATGCCAACTCCCTCTGGGATTTACAGCATAAAGGAGCTCAGGTCTCCCAGAGAGACCTCAGAAGGATCCCAAAGTCGCTGGAGCTGAAGAAAACCTCTTCATTACTGGGTCAATGACTGTTGTGGAGCTCAAGGAGAAGAAACATTGGTAACACTTTATGATAACTGAACATTATGAATCATTTATTAAGCATTACCAACTAGTGAATTTATTATCTGTTAAACATGAAATCTACAATAAAAGACGTTCGTCTGCAGTTTATAACTGCAGCTACAAATGGTGTATTCTCAACTTATAACCACATTTATAATGTGCTTCACAATTGTACTTTCATAATTTGTTAATGATTCATTTCTCATTACTAAACGAAGTATTGCATTATTTAAAAACCATTTGTATTTAAGAGTAGTTGGAGGTTTTTTAAGATCATTCAGAATGAGTTAGTAAATGATTAATAAACTATTGAAATCAACATTTATACCTCTTATTATTCAGGCATATAGTAATGGTGACTATGCATGTTTTTAAATGCTTCATTGGCTTCATGCAGTTTTGTGACCTAATATAAAGTGAGGACTAATTATAATTTTTAAACCTCTTATAAATGACAATTAAAGGCTCAGTATTAAATGAACTATAATCTTTGCAATCTTAAAAATATAATTACTGTAAAGTTTAAACATTGCTGAATAATTTATTTGGAATAGTCTACTCATTTGAATGTTTTCGTTAGATTAAAATAAATTGTGCCTCGTCACAGTATGGATAACCCGCAGTACCTGCCTTTTGGGTGTCTTGTGGTGAAATGAAACTGTTACAGCTGACTGTGAGGGCGCGTCTGAACTAGAGCTGTAATCAGGCTATGAAAGGTAGGCCCGATAGAGCCCGAACCCGACAGGTACATTTTTAATGACAGCTTTTTAAAAGCCCGAACCCGTATAGCCCGACATTATCCAAATGTGCACATGCACAGCTCTTTTGTCTTTTTTCATGAATGAGTTGTTTATATGCGTTAACATTACTTATTCATAACA